TTAGCAAATAATTCACCAGTATCAACTTCACCATAGCAAATAATTTTCCTGCTTCTCCATGTCTTCTCTCCCCACAGCCAGGAGAACCCTAACCTATTTTTTTAATGCAAAAACCCATCTTGAATCTGGAAAAAATTCTTCAAGTAATATTTTACATCTTTTTGTCTTGTTCACAGACTAAGGTTTTCAAAACTAAAAAGCTAGGAATTGGATGCTTGAGCCTGGTAATGATGGTAGCAGGAAGTGATGTCTACTTCATATCTATAAGCTCAAGTGGGGTTCAGGAGAAGGTCATGAAGTTAAATGGGATTTCTATATGTGAAACACATTCACACCTCACATTTGTCTGAATATCAGTTTATCTATCCTTCCATCCATCCATCTATCCATCCATCTATCCATCCATCCATCCATCCATCCATCCATCCATCCATCCTTCCATCTATCCATCCATCCATCCATCCATCCATCCATCCATCCATCCATCCTTTGAATACTCCAGAAAAAAATGTTGATGATGTTTGACTTCAGCATGTCAGGGCAAAGTATTAAAAAACCAAGACATGTTAAAAATTTGCAGAACTTATGGTAGCAGTAGTAGACAAAGTAATGGCCCCCCAAAATAGACGTGTCCTGAAACCTGAGATTATGTTAGGTTACATGGCAAAGGGGAAAGAAGGTTGCAGATGAATTTGCTAATTAGCTGATTTTGATGTGGGAAAGATTGTCCTGGATTATCCAGGTGGCCCCAATATAATTACAAGTGCTCTTATAAGTCAAGAGGGAGGTGAGAGAGATATAAAGATGCTTTTCTGCTGGCTTTGAGATTGGAGAAAGGGCCAGTGAGCCCAGGAATGCGGGTATCGAACCTGGACACCATCATTCTCAGCAAACTGACACAAGAACAGAAAATCAAACACTGCATGTTCTCACTCATAGGTGAATGTTAAACAATGAGAACACATGGACGTAGGGAGGGGAGCATCACACACTGGGGTCTGTGGGGGAGAACTAGGGGAGGGACAGCAGGAGGGTAGGGACAGCAGGAGGGTAGGGAGTTGGGGAGGGATAACATGGGGAGAAATGCCAGATATAGGTGATGGAGAGGAAGGCAGGAAACCACATTGCCATGTATGTACCCATGCGACAATCTTGCATGTTCTTCACATGTACCCCAAAACCTAAAACACAATAAAAAATATATTTTAAAAAAAGCTGGAAAAGGAAAGGAAAAGGATTCTTCCCTGGAGCATCCAGAAGGAATGCAGCCCTGCTGACACCTTGGTTTTAGTCCAGTGAGGCCTGGACTAAATAATACACAATAATACATTGCACCTTACAATAATCACAATAACACATTGTGATATTTTAAGCCAATAAATATGTGATGATTTGTGATGATTTGTCACAGCAATGATAGGTAACTAATACAGTAGCTATAACTGTATAGTCATAAATAACATATTAGGCAAATTAACTTAAAACTTGGCCAACTGGGTAGACACAATTGATTTTAACAAACACTTAGGTGCCACCTGGTGGTTGAAATCTTAGCGCAAGTGACAGCTGAAATGACATCTACCCAAGCACTAGAAGTGAAATGCTCCAAGCATGACACTAAACTTATTGTTTGTGGTTAAATGATTAAAAGAAAAAAAGGTGGAATGATTTATTTGGGTCACCAAATAATACAATGGAGAAAGAAGCTCAATGTGTAAACATTCAGGAATAAAGCGTTTTATGGCAAGGACACATGACAGAAAACAAGAAGCCAGAGAAACCTGCTTAGGAATCATCATTTGCCAGTGAAGGTGGCTTGGGAGAACTTTCACTCCACCTAAACCTTACCTCATAAAGTCTGTAAGATCCCATTCTCTCCATATTAGTTACAGACAATTACATTTTCTCAACCTCATATAAAGTATGATACAAATGTAGCATTATTTCATCAAGAAAGCACCCCTAATCCTCTCCTATACAGAATCTGGACCTGTCTGTGCACACATGACCGATTCAAAAGTGCAAGATACCTCACACCTATTAGAATGGCTGCTGTGGAAGGAAAATAAAATCTCGGGACCCCAAATGCACTGTGCAGAAGGGAAGAATTAAGTTTGGGAACTGAGTGGTACAAACCTGCTTCGTGTTTTGTTTCTAAATAGATAGCTGCAAAGATAGGAGACCACATACCTCCCCAGAGGGCCTCCCTCACAATTTGCTTATAAGGAAATTCCTTGTGGGCTCCAAGATTTTTACTCTAAAACAAATTCTGTTGAATTTCACCCTGACAATGTAAATCAACCGCTTATATTCATAGGTATGGGACAAGGACAGATTGGAAATCATCCTTCTGCTTGCCCGAGACAAATACATATTTGACTGCTTCTTCTACTCTATGTTTACTTCATCTCATGCAGAAATGCAGATTCACTGAGCACAAGGCCACGCAAATTCGTAGTTGACTGTTTCTCTAGTCCTTCTGTTCGTATGTAAAATGTGAATTCAGTGAACAGTGATCAAAGCCTCGAAAGAATGCAACCGATTACCACTTTTATCTACTGTCCTTTTTGTTCTTTTCTCTTTCCCCATTAAATAATGAAGTCCCCAAACCTTCTTCGGCAAAAATATGGGCCACAGATTTGACTGTGGCTATTGTCTCTTTTTCCCTTGTGCATCCTCAACCTTGGCAAAATAAATCTTGAAATTGATTGAGACTCGCCTCAGTCATTATTCTTTGATTTTACACCACTATAAAACAAAACATCAAATAACAAGTGTTGGTGGGAATATGGAGAAGTTGGAACCCTTGTTCACTGTTGGTGGGATTGTAAAATGGTGTAATTTCTGTGGAAAACAGTATGGGAATTCCTCAGTAAATTAAAAATAGGACATAAAACTACCATACGATCCAGCCATCCAGCTTCTGGGTATATATCTGAAAAAATTGAAAGTGCGGTCTCATAACAACTCTGTTTACAATAGGCAAGAGGTAGAAGCAGCAGACGTGTATGGAATGTTTTATATACACATATATATATCTGTCCGAATATAAATATGGAATATTATTCACCCTTAAAAGGAAAACCTGTCATGTGCTACAACATAGATGAAACTTGAGAAAATTATCCTAAGTAAATTGAGCCAATCACAAAACACAGACACTGAGTAATATCACTTATATGAGGTCTAGAAAGTAGTCAGATTCATAGAATGGCGGTTACCAGAGAAGGAGGTGGGGAAGGAATTGTTTAATGGATATATAGTTCCAGCACTAAAAGATGAAAAATTTGTGGAGATCTCTTTCATTACAATGTAAATATGCTTAACACGAATGAACTATACACTTAAACGTGGTTAAGATAATACATTTTATAATATTTGCTTTTTACCATAATAAAATAAAATGCAGGGTAGTGCCGCATGCACAGGACAGCCTAAAGGATGGTGAGTCCCCTCTTCTAATGGCCGTAAAGGCCTCTGGCTGAGGTGCCACGAACATTCCTGTCCACTGAACAGGCAAGGTGAAGGCTGTTGCATTTAGGGCCAACATCTATCTGTGAGCCTTCTTCAGCTGGTCCCAAGAGCTGCCTCTCTTTTGCAATTTTTATATGACACAACTATTAAAGCACAGCTTTAGCCTTTCATCTTCTATCCTGATTTTCTGCCATTCATTGAAAACGTCCAATTCTCCCATCAGCCGTGAGTCACTTCCTCCTGGTACAAAAATGTGTTCACATTATCCCCAGATCTTTCCATCATAATTTTTCAGATCATATATAACTTTCTAAAGTCTCGAAATATAGAACCTGAACTTAACCATGTAACCTATGTTTAAGGCAACCTGACAGTTCTTGAGCCAACTTAACTCTTTCAGGCCTTTCACCAGCCTGCAATATTCCTTATACTGACACTCTAGAAACATTAAGCAGAGGGAAAGTGTGTGCATGAAATAAGACACCACAGGTTTCAATTCTAGTTCCACCATTTGCCTGATGTGCGGCCTTGGATTCCCCAAATTGATTTAAGAACTGCCTGGTTGGTCCTTTGGATTCAGCTTTTATCCCCTACAGTGTAATTCTCAACACAATTGCCTGAGTGATATCATAACATTGATCCACATTTTTCCTAATGTTTGTGTTTCTGAAGTTGTGTTTAAAGAGATTCTTCTGTACCACCCAGCCCGCAAAGATATTTCCCTAGATTGAGGTATTTATTCCATCTGCAAACGTGGCTTTCAACGGGAGGGATGTTTAGCAGGGTCTGGAGACATTTTGATTGCAAAAACTTGGGTCACGGATGGGGTACTGTGCAGGGTAGAATAAGAATGTGCATTGTTAAGTAAAAAAAAAACAAGGAGCAGAGTTGTTGTATATAGTATAGAATATTTTGCATAAGAAAGAATAAAACTAGAGTAAACACATATGTATTCATTTATTAAAAATATATGCACAGGAAGAATAAAACAGAAAGTGGTAAATGTGGTTACCATGGAGCAGGGCAAGGTGGGGGAGAGGCATAGGTTGTACTGAGCATAGGTTGTACATGTGTGTTAGTTTCCTATAGCACTATAAAAAACTGCCAAAATTGTCACAAATTTAGTGGCTTAAAGCAACACAAATTTATAAAATTACAGTTTTGGAGTTCAAAAGTTTAAAATGGGTCTCCCTGGGCTAAAATCCAAGTGTCAGGGGGGCTGTGTCAGTGGGGCTGTGTTCCTCTCTGGAACTTCTAGGGCAGAATACACTTGCTTGCCTTGTCTGGCTTCCAGAGGCAGCCCACATGCCTTGGCACTGCTCTGCCGTCTTCAAAGCCGGTAAGGATGCACTGAGTCCTTCTCATGCTGAGTCATTTTGAGCTCCTTTTCTGTATTCAATCTTCCTCTATCTCATTATTCTGAGTACCTTTTCTATTTTTCTTTTTTTTTTTCTTTTTTCTTGAGATAGAGACTTACTCTGTTGCCCTGACTGGAGTGTAGTGGTGCCCTCTTGGCTCGCTGCAACCTCCACTTCCCGGGTTCAAACACTTCTCCTGCCTCAGCCTCCCTAGTAGCTGGGACTACAGGCGTGCACCACCACACCCAGCTAATTTTTGTGTTTTTAGTAGAGATAGGGTTTCATCATATTGGCCAGGCTGGTCTTGAACCCTTGACCTTGTGATCTGCACTCCTCAGCCTCTCAAAGTGCTGGGATTATAGATGTGAGCCACCGCGCCCAGACTCTACCGTTAAAGATTCTTATAATGACACTGGGCCCACCCAGATAATAAAAGATGACTTCTGCATGTCAAAATCTTTATTCACATCTACAAACTCTTTTTTCCAGGTAAGGTAATATATTCACAGATTCTGGGGAGTAAGACATGGATACCTTGGGGGCAGGGGCAAGGTTTGGTCACTTTTCTTCCTTCTACAGCATGGAAATGGTAATACAATGTTTTTACTTTTTAGCCATGTAAAATGAACACAACAAGAAGAAACTAAACATGAAAATTATATATTTCAAGAACATTTTATATGATTCTAAGGACTTAGGCCTCAATACAACTTATGAGGCAGTGCTGTTACATGCAGGAAACCAAAGGCCTTTGCTGTTTCATAACTTGTTCAAATAGTAAACCAGTTGGTAGCAGAGTTATGATTCAAACCCAGTTTGTTTTAACTCAGGAATATTTCCCAAGGTCAGTCAGCACTAGCATTTAAACACCTAACTGGTTTTTTTCCCATTACTCCATGGCTGACAACAGTCAGCTGTAATGGCCACCCGAGTGAAGTCTTTCCTTCACTTTGATCTGTTGTGTATATTAATAATAGTAAAATCTCCTGTATTGACAAACTGTTATGAAATGTCCTTTTCAAGTTCTTTTAGAAGCTCATTGCAGCTGGGAAAAATTAATGAGTTACAATGTAAAACTTCCCATAGCTATGATCCAGTACCCAGGGGTCAGGGCTAGCTTTACAGAGGATCAGCTCTGGTAACAGGTAGAAAGCTAGAGTCACTGAACATAGATGCTGGTGGTGGGCAGCAGTAAGGGTGGGAGTCTGTGGAAGTTCTCTTCCGTTTGCTTCTATTTTCTCAGAGAAATAGAAAGAAAGATCATTGGCTGAGAATAAGAATGGGGGAGGAAGTGTGGGATTTGAGAGGAGAAGAGAATGTGTGGAATAGTCCTTTTGGAAAGTGGGGTGTCTTATGACTGCTGGGCAGTGTAAAGAGGCTGCTTGATTTAGTGGTCACGAGTTGAAATAGATTATAGGCAGAGAAGGTGCTGATTTGGATTTAACCGTTTGTGATTTGCCAAGGAAGTGGGAGCAAATAAGAGAGGGATAAGGACATAAAGGGTTCATGGAGTGGTTGACCACAGAGTTTCAGCTGCATAAAGAGGGGAGTGAAACCATCAAGGGGCTGAGGAACAGTGAACAGGAAAGGGATTTAATAAATAAATGAATTGTGGTTGTTAGTGGGGTGGAAAGTCAGTTGGCATAAGGCATTAGAGGGAATGAGCTGCTGTTAGGAGGCAGCTGGCAGAGAGTGGGATGTGCACACTTGATATTGTGGAGGGTGTGCAGCTCTGCAAAGGGTGGTGATGATGAGGTCTCAGAGTCTGACCATGGGGTGGTCCAGGCGTTAGAAGTCTCAGTTACATGGATATTGAAATGATTAAGGATTAGCATCAAAATAGTATGAAGTGACAGTGACCCAAGAGTTCCCATGGAAAATAAGGAGGCAGGACTTGGGGGCAGCAGGTGACAGTTACATTAAAATTCAGAATTGAAGGAAAGAAAACAGCCCAAAATCAGCAATGGAAGTTTCGGGCAGGTGAGGAGGACACTTACTCCCTTCCAGAAGTAGGGGAAAATCAGCTACTAGAGTGAGCTGCAGGGAATGAAATGTTGGAGTTAGCCAAGTTTGTGGTTTGCCAGGGAAGTGGGAGCAAATCAGAGAGGGATAAGTGCAGAAGGGTGCAGGCAAAGGATTGACTATGGAGTTTCAGCTGCGTAAGGAGGGGAGTGAAACCACCAAGAAGGGAAGGAGCAGTGGACAGCAGCGGGATTTAAGAATCAGTGAATCATTGGTGTCAGTGGGGTGGAAAGACTCCTGAGGACCTGATTTCTGTTTGAACAACAAGGAAGTGCGAGAATATTCAGAGAACAGATGACAATAAAGGGGATTTGTCCTCTATGATTTGCTAGGAATCCAACTAGCACAGTGGAAGGATCTCGGAATTAGGGGAAAGGTGGAAGAGATGGACAGAATGAGGATGAGCAGACCCTTACAATGTGGAGATGAGGGGTGGCTTTGCAGTTTGCGGCTTTTGAGGGGGTTTCATAAACAGGAATAAAGTGAATAATGTGGATCCAAAGGAGAGAGTGAGGTGATGCTCTGACTAGAGGGAGCCAGAGAGGGTGAGTTTCTGGAGCCCCGTCTTTACACTGATGCTGAGGGTAGGTAGGGTAGAAAGTCAACAGGAGGTATGTTCTTAGACCAAATATACTAGTTCTCTCTTCCTCTGCTGGGCAGTGGGGCTTACCCAGGGATGTCTGTTTCCATTGACCCCATTATTGATGTCTTGGGACATCTCTGGAGCAGCAGTTTGGTTGCACCTGTCTTTAATGAGAATGATGAGGATCGAAGGCATCGTCTCGTTTCCACAACAGAAACGCATGAAATGCAAATAGCAAAACTCCAGGAAACAGTTGAGTTCCCTTAGAAAGGGCAAACCAAACTGATGGCATCTACAGAAAAAGACAAATACTTGCATTACTGTCATAGGAAGCATTCAGAGGCACTGAGGACAATAGAATCGTGAGTTCTTTCAATAAAGTGATGTTCCTTACACATCTACCATGTGCCTAACACTGTTCAGAGTGCCACAGGACATGCGACAAGGTGGTGAACACAGCCTATGGTGGAGGCTGTTGAAATCTATCTTCTATTGATCCAGAATTTGATTTTCATAAAGCATCAGCAAATCAAAAGCCCAAAACGAAACCAAAAACACAGAGATTGATTTGTTTCTTTGTATTGTTTTCTTATAGGCATTTTGGATTTTTAAATTTATTACTTTTTAAATGCAGATTGCATGCTGCAGCCAGAAATGCCAGCGTCCCATAATGGAAGTTTTCTTTGCATTCTTAAGAGGACTGTATTGAGAATTGAGTATCTATGTTTTATATTTTATTTTATTGATTATTGGAAATAGCAGAGAAGTGATAGATCAAGGATTTAAGTTCGCTGATGCTAAAGCCCATATGACCATGTGATTTTACCTTTTGTGTGATCCTTTTATTTCCATCTAGGTCTTGTCCTGTCCCACCATCTCTCTTGGTACCAGTTATACTTCTGAATCACTATCACTGATAGAGACTCATGTGGATGGCTCATCCAGAAACGACTGTCCTATTTTAAGAACAAATTAAAAGTTGCCTCAGTTGGTGGTGTCTAACTCTTCAACTTAGAAGAGAGAAAATATTAATAGGAATCAACTCTGCTTGTTTAACAGGTCAAGCTGGTCTCTGGTGTCCATGGGGACACTTCAGGAGAAGCCGATTAACACTGAGATGTGTGGAAATAGGATCAATAATTTTCAGTAACTGAGGAAGATTACCAGAAGCCAAGGTGGCCTTTAACAGAGACTGTGCCGCTCTGAGCCCAGGACTGTTGAGCACTTGGCAGGCAATGGAGAAAGTCTAATTGTGGCTGATGATGAGTCATTTTACACTATTGTCACACCTCCTTTCTCCATGTTCCATTTTAGGAACAGTATAACTTTCCCAGCCAGAAATTGTCTAATTTAAACCCTGACTCTTACCTGTGTGAATCAAAATGACTCAGAAAGTGCAAATAAAATAACCCTGAGGAGTCAGTGGTTGTTTCATTTTTCTCATAGCTTCTCTTCCCAGAATTGAGGCCTGTATCTTCCAGGTGTATGGAGGAGACATGGGCTAGAGGACTGAATCTGGGTGTCAGGGAAAGAAGTGTCCCAGGACTATAAGTTAGAGCATTTTTTCCTGATATAAGGATATAGGGTACGTTATTTTAAGATTTATGGCCAAAGTCTTAGCTATATGAAAAATAGTGATTTTTTTTAAAAGGAGAGAGAACTGCTGTTTTTTAAATAGAATTAAAACATGGATAAACAAAGAAAGAGGGTGCATATATGTGTTTGCCTAAATATATATAAACGTGCATACACACATATATACATATACATTTTAGTTCTGTATGTTCAGCTTCTCTCCCCCATTCATTCTTATACCTTTTAAGAAATAATCACAGCATAGATTCTAAAAAGAAGACTTAATTCACAGAAACATGGCACATTGGCCTATGAAATGGGGAACAATTAGCACTGAGTATTTAGACAACTCACTAGGCATCATTTAATGCAGCATCCAACAAATATTGATTTGCAATAATGTTTGAATTTCCTAGAATATGAAAATAATGTATATTTCTTATTTTTGCATACTACTTTCCAGTTTTAAAGGTTTTTAAATACGTATTATCTCATTTGACCTCCCCAAACACTTTGTGTGCTAGCCAGAATATGAATTTTTATTTCCAGTTTCTAGGTAAGGTATTGGAAATACACACATCTTAAGTGCTGCACCCAGTAGCAAATGATCCTACAAATCATGTATGTTGACTCCAGATTTAATGATGGACAGAATATACAACACATGAGGCCAGGCACCGTGGCTAATGCCTGTAATCACAGAACTTTGGGAGGCCGAGGCGGGCAGATCACCTGTGGTCAGGAGTTCAAGACCAGCCTGGCCAACATGATGAAACCCCATACCTACTAAAAAACACAAAAAATTAGCTGGGAATGGTGGTGGGCACCTGTAATCTCAGCTACTTGGGAGGCTGAGGTAGGAGAATCACTCAAACTGAAGAAGGCAGAAGTTGCATTGAGCTGGGATCATGCCACCGCACTCCAGCCTGGGTGACAAGAGAAAATCTCCATCTTAAAAAAAAAAAGGAAATACATAACAAATGATTCAAAATTTTCCACCATAGTATTAAGATCTCTGAAACGGTGAGAATGTAAAGGAAATAAATGGCTTCAATTTTCCAAAAAAGTTACATATGTGAAACATAATTTTGCTTGATTAATTAGGTATTACCATACTTAAAAATATGTTGAAAGTTTTAAATGCGCAGATTACTTTTCTTTGTTTTTTTTTTTTAGATTGGTGGTTTGCTGTTTTGTAAGGGGTCTCTTTCTTATTAATAACCCATTTTCATGTTGAATTGTGGCATGGGTTACCAACATAGTGTAACACTTCTTTTTAATAATTGAATCATATATGCTCTTTATAGAAAATTTGGGAAATACACAAAGATGTTGGTTTGAAAAATAAAAATTACTCACCATCTAGAGGAAAACCTCTTTATATATTTTGTTACATTTTCTATTAATTGTCATTTTATTCTTATCCAGCATTAAAAATGCAGTTGAGGATGTACTGCATGTGTAGGTTGATAATGTTTCATACATAATTTGCATGCTGCATCATTTATGCAGCCACACCCTTATGAGTGGATATTTATGTTATTTCCATTTTTTGTTACCATAAATAGTACCCGGATGAGCATTGTGCAAGTTTATTATTATTTATAATTGAGTCCTAGAAGTGGTATGACTGGGTCAAATGATGAACACGTTTTCAGTGTATTGACATATTTTGCCAATTTTTTTCCAAGGAACTTACCACTAGCTGGTCAGAATGCCGCATCGTCCACTGTGGAATTGTGTGAGTGGAATTAGTGTTGACAGATGTATTACTGCTGTAAAAAATGTCCAGAAACTTAGGAGCTTCAATAAACACAAATGTATTATCTTACACTTTGGATGTCAGAAGTCCTAAAATCAAGGTGATAGCAGGGCTGCATTCCTTTTGGATGCTTTAGGGGAGAATTATTTCCTTGTTTTTTCCAGCATCTGGAAACTACTTGCTTTCCTTGGCTGTGGACCCTTCCTTCATCTACAAAGTCAGCAGTACAGCATCTTCAGATCTCTCTCTTGCTCTTTGATCTCTCCTTTCATCAGCACATTTTCTTCTCTCTCTGACCTGCCTGTCTCTATCTTTTCAAGAGCCTTGTGATTATATTAGTTTTACCTGGATAATTCAGGATACTCTTCCCATCTCAGTATCCCTAATCTAATGACATCTACAAAGTCTATTTTGCTGTGTAAGGTAATATATTCACAGGATCTGGGTATTAGAATATGGACATATTTGGGAAGCTATTTTTCGGCTGACCACAATAGATAAAAAACATAATCTCAGTTTGCATCCTATCCTCATAACTTGCTAGTTTAGAAAAGTTTTCATAAAAAAATTTTTTTTTATGGTTGAAGCAATAAAGCAGATGGAAATGCATTATTGACCAGGTCCTGAGGAAACCGAGGCCCAGTGAGGTCATGAAACTTCTCCAAAGTCAAGTGGCTGAGAGGTGACAGGTCTGACTTTCAAGTTCATATTCTTTTTTTGTTGTTTATTTATTTTTGGTTATATTATCTTCTATTTAAAAACTAATGCTATCAGTACCTACAAGGTATAAAAAGTCTCTGACTTTAGAAAGCCAGTTGCTAATTCTATAATGTCATCAGTATTATAGAAATAGCTGTATTCATGTCAGTAATGTTGTGGGAGGGAGTCCAGGCATGCTGCTTCCCTGCAAGCCTTCAGTGACACCATAAGTGACAACACTGCTAGACTCAATATCCGTATTTCAGCACATTTATCTTTATAAATGATATCGCTTTCAGGGTTTGCTTACATTTAAACTTCTAGAAGAAATCTGTATTAGATTTTGAAATCAGATTTTAAAAACACATGGGCTTCACGTGTCAGGAACAGCAGTGTTTTATAAGCAATTTTCATGCCATTAACTACTTCTGGGAAAGTGTGAGTCCATGTCTGTATGCACTCTATGGAGCATCCTTTTAGAAAACCTTACAGAAATTTTAATAACGGCAGTCAACCTACTCCTATCACCTCAGAGCATCAAAGACAAAAATTAATAGTTGGCTATGACTTTAAGCAAGATGTTTCAGAGAAAATACGTGAATAAAGATCACTAGCCATTTGAACCAGGTGAAATGATTAGGTTTTATATCTGACTCCGTAGATCTGTGAATTGGGCAATTCTTGATAAAACTAATTCATCCTGTTTATATTAACCTCATTATTCCATGCTCTGTGAGCTCTTCCGCATATAATTTGCAGTTCCATCAGTTCACCTGTGATGACTGCTTATTCACTGAACTCTGGCCTGACTCTCACCTCTGCACCTAACTCCAGACCTCAGTGGTGGTGACAAGTAAGAGATATGCTGGCCCACAGGCCACAGTGCTTATGCTCTTTCAGTGTAGGAGACCAGTGGCTGAACAATGCTCTCCATAGCTTTCAAGTAGGTCTCCTATTTTCATGAATTAAAAAAAAAAAAATCAATGAATCGGAAAGGAGACACTAGCCATTATGTTGAGGATAACCATGTTCATTAAGTTGTAGGACATTTTGGTCACTGCACATAAAGATACAAGCCATCCCAGCAACCTGGGTAAGAAGAAAAGAAATGAAGAATGATCAATTGAGAAACATAGCTAACAGGTTATATTACAGGATCTTGACAGTGAAGAAGGTAGTAAATTCAATATTTTAAAATTTATTTTTAATTTTTTTCTTCATGAATGACTGTGCTACTCCACAAAGGATTTGAGACTCCTTGAAGGAAGAAGATAACAACAACAAATTAAGACTAGAACAAATATTGGTAAAACAGTGAGGTCAGACAGAGGGAAATTGGAAAACTGAGGAATCTATGTCCTTCACCATCCTGTAGTTTTGGGAAGCAAATCCACTTTGGAGAGAAGAAAAGTGTTCTGTGGTTCTTGCTACAAGGACTCTGCCAACATGTTTAATGGGAGTGCAGTGCTGTGTGGAAGAGAGTACAGGTAATTCACTTTACCCTCCCTAGTAAGCCAATTTAGTCTTTACTCCTTAAATAAATATAGCTTTTTGAAGTCTTCTTGCTTATTATCCTTTTTACTTCTAATATTGAACTTTTTGATTACTGCAAGTGATTTTTTTTTTTAGTGTCCAATTAAAAGTTTAGGCTACTAGGGACTTTTAGAGCACAGTTCTTCTAAATCAGTCAACTGGTGGACAATATTCACACATTCTTAGTCTTTGCGAAACAAGTACTGAACGTGCAAATATAAAGCAAAGTGCCAGTTTCTATAATGGCTTGTTTTCTATCTGATTTCTACATGTATTGAACCCAAATAACCTGAATGGTTCATTTTTTTTTTTCTCCTAAAAGTAGCTTCTGTTTTATTTTCTTTTTAAAAAAGAAAAAGAAAATAAATCCCTTTTGATTATCCACCAATTGTCCTGGAAATTAAGAAAAACATGTTTTATCTATTTGTGAATCTTAGTTGTTAATTTGATAATGTTGTTTTTACAAAGTAAATCCCATTATTATATTCCTGTGGTAGAAAGTACTGGGTTTTGTGGGTAAACACTAAAATACAGAAATTCTACCATTGTGAATAAAAAATTAAGTTGTGTCTTAAAAAAGTCTCATTGGAAAGTCAAATTACACTGTTACTCATCAAGCTATAGTGTCTATTTTTTTGTTATTTAGAAATACTAATAGAGTAAGACCTCATTTTTCTAAAGTAGTAAAAAGTATGTTTTAAAAGTTTTTAACCATTTTATTGACAATAATATCTAAAATAACCTAAGGTCCTTTCACATAGTACTTACTTATTTTTTATTTTTATTTTTGAAACAGAGTTTCGCTCTTGTTGCCCAGGCTGGAGAGCAATGGTGCAATCTTGGCTCACTGCAAACCCTGCCTCCCTGGTTCAAACCTTTCTCCTGCCTCAGCCTCCCAGATTATCTGGGATTATAGGCATGTGCCACTATGCCAGGCTAATTTTGTATTTTTAGTATAGAGATGGGGTTTCTCCATGTTGGTCAGTCTGGTCTTGAACTCCTGACCTCAAGTGGTCTGCCTGCCCTGGCCTCCTGAAGTGCCGTGATTACAGGTGTGAGCCACTGCGCCTGGCCTATTTATTTTAAAATATATATATTGTTAACACATGTGTAGGTCTCTATATTATTGAGGCCTATACTTTTATGCAATATTTATTTCTTATATGTAGCTCTGTATTCATCACACTTGAAATTTTAATTGTTGTGTAAGATAAATCCAGCTGACACATTTTTCTTTGCTTGAGTGTTATACTGACATTGGCAAGAACGTACTTTGAATAATTTCAGTTCTTTGAAAATTATTGAAACTAGCTTTAGGGACCAGCATATGATAAATTTTGATAAATGTTCCATGTGCACATAAAAATATGTATATTCTGTAGTTGTAGAGTATTTAGGTCACGTCGATTTTTCTTCCTGTTCAAATCTTCTGTATTAGTACAATCTGGTAGAAATATAATGCTAACTACATATGTAATTCTTATTTTAAAAATTTCTAGTAACCTGCATTACAAAATAAAAAATAGGTAAAATTAACTTGTCATAAAATTATACATGTTAAATAAAATTTAACACATAAATTATATGTGTTAAATATAATTATATCTTATTTAGCACAGTGCATCCAATACATTTTCACTTCAAAGTGTGATTAGTATAAAATCATTAATAAAAATTTTTTTTCATATTTAGCCTTCAATATCTGATACATAATTTATATTTACAGCACATCTCAATGATGGTACTAAGTTTTTTTTTTGAGACGCAATTTTGCTCTTGTTGCCCAGGCTGTAATGCAATGGCAGATGCTAAATTTTGACCTGTGTTGAGATCCCATAAAATTTCCTGTTGAAAAAGAAGATTCACAGCTCACATATCCAGGTTGTTCCAACCAGTCCTAAATGTTTTAGTACCCGAATCATGTGGCAAAAAAGTCATTTTAAAAAATTTACATCTACATTGAGAAAATTAATATATTTGTTTTAGAAAACTTGATTTGACTTTGAAGGGAAAGCATATAATTTTCAAAAGTTAAGAAAAGTTAAGTAAATTTACTAAATTTTTTTATGTTGTATCATAAAATAGAATTTATTGTAATAGAATCCTGTAACATATATGAGTTACCCTTCCACAAAGTAGAAATAAAGTCTGGTCAAAGAACTTATGCTTTAAATAATTAAACTCAAAACGGAAGGACAAGACAGGGTGTTCTTGTTCTAAAGGGTATTCAAAAAATAAAAATAAGTACAAAAATAACTCATAATAGTAGCTACACAAGCTACCATACACAAATTAATATCAATTTCAAAGGGATATTTTGAAAATTGAAAAGCAATTTTAAATTTATCAGTATCAAGAAAGCCTTATTCAAATTTCCTGTAGTGTTTGCTACCAATTTACATATTTTCAATTCCAACTAAAATCTTCTATATATTGATTCATATTATGAAAATGTATGAAAGTCATGATTATTGATTTGTAGTATAAAAAAATTCAGTGCCAATATAAATTCACATACTTGTCTAGGTAGATTACAATAGCTTTTTCTTTCCTTGGAACTTGAAAACGTAACTCCTTCATATTCAGTGTAATACCAGTGAGGAAACACAACTCAAACTACTGTTACTTTTTTCCTTTTATTATTGAATATTTGATAGAATTCCTTTAGTTCCTAAAATTTCGAGAATTGGATTCAACATTGCAATAAGTATTTGTAAAACTCTCCCACAACTCAACCAACAACAACTGGCAAAGAACACAAGACAATCACCTTCACTGTCT